AGTGCGGCCTTGTGGGGTGCTCCTTGGGCGGTGGGACTCCCTGGGGGTGCAGTGGGACCCCTGGGGGGGGGCTGGCAGTGACGTCCCCATCTCCCCCCAGAAAATGGTGACGGCGCTAGACAAGAACTGGCACCCGGAGCACTTCTGCTGCGTCAAGTGCGGGCAGCCCTTCGGCGAGGAGGGTGGGTGGCCCCCGTGTCCCCCCCGTGTCCCCTCCCGTCCTCCCAGATCGCCTCGTGGCCCCCTCCCACCGTGTCCCTGTGGCCCGATCCCGTGCAAATGGTGACGGCGCTAGACAAGAACTGGCACCCGGAGCACTTCTGCTGCGTCAAGTGCGGGCAGCCCTTCGGCGAGGAGGGTGGGTGGCCCCCGTGTCCCCCCCGTGTCCCCTCCCGTCCTCCCAGATCGCCTCGTGGCCCCCTCCCACCGTGTCCCTGTGGCCCGATCCCGTGCTCACGTGTCCCCGTGTCCCCACGTCTCACCATCCCCACGTCCCCAGATCTCTCCTCCTCCATCCCGGCCTCACCACCCTGGTCGCATCCCCCGTGTCCCCACATCCCCGCGTCCGTGTCTCCCATGTCCCCGTGTCCCCATGCCTCCCCGTCCTCGCACCGTCCCCCTGCCACCCTCCCCGTGGTGTCCCCCAGGCTGCCTGGAGAAGGATGGCCAGCAGTACTGCCGCCAGGACTTCGCCGAGCTCTTCTCCAGCCGGTGCCGGGGCTGCGGGCGGCCCATCCTGGAGGGCTACATCGCCGCCCTCGAGGGGCTCTGGCACCCCGAGTGCTTCGTCTGCCGGGTGAGACCCCCGCCACCCCCACCTCCCCTGGTCTCTGGTGTCCCCACGTCCCCATGTCCCACCTCCAGGAGCACTTCACATGCCACGTCCCCACCTCCCCTGGTCCCTGATGTCCCCACGTCCCCATGTCCCACCTCCAGGAGCACTTCACATGCCACGTCCCCACCTCCCCTGGTCCCTGATGTCCCCATGTCCCCACCTCCCCTGGTCCCTGATGTCCCCATGTCCCCACCTCCCCTGGTCCCTGATGTCCCCGCGTCCCCATGTCCCACCTCTGGGAGCACTTCACATGCCACGTCCCCACCTCCCCTGGTCCCTGATGTCCCCATGTCCCCACCTCCCCTGGTCCCTGATGTCCCCACGTCCCCATGTCCCACCTCCGGGAGCACTTCACATGCCACGTCCCCACCTCCCCTGGTCCCTGATGTCCCCACGTCCCCATGTCCCACCTCCGGGAGCACTTCACATGCCACGTCCCCACCTCCCCTGGTCCCTGATGTCCCCGCGTCCCCATGTCCCACCTCTGGGAGCACTTCACATGCCACGTCCCCACCTCCCCTGGTCCCTGATGTCCCCACGTCCCCATGTCCCACCTCCAGGAGCACTTCACATGCCACGTCCCCACCTCCCCTGGTCCCTGATGTCCCCACGTCCCCATGTCCCACCTCCGGGAGCACTTCACATGCCACGTCCCCACCTCCCCTGGTCCCTGATGTCCCCATGTCCCCACCTCCCCTGGTCCCTGATGTCCCCATGTCCCCACCTCCCCTGGTCCCTGATGTCCCCATGTCCCCACCTCCCCTGGTCCCTGATGTCCCCACGTCCCCATGTCCCACCTCCAGGAGCACTTCACATGCCACGTCCCCACCTCCCCTGGTCCCTGATGTCCCCATGTCCCCACCTCCCCTGGTCCCTGATGTCCCCGCGTCCCCATGTCCCACCTCTGGGAGCACTTCACATGCCACGTCCCCACCTCCCCTGGTCCCTGATGTCCCCACGTCCCCATGTCCCACCTCCAGGAGCACTTCACATGCCACGTCCCCACCTCCCCTGGTCCCTGATGTCCCCACGTCCCCATGTCCCACCTCCGGGAGCACTTCACATGCCACGTCCCCACCTCCCCTGGTCCCTGATGTCCCCACGTCCCCATGTCCCACCTCCAGGAGCACTTCACATGCCACGTCCCCACCTCCCCTGGTCCCTGATGTCCCCATGTCCCCACCTCCCCTGGTCCCTGATGTCCCCACGTCCCCATGTCCCACCTCCGGGAGCACTTCACATGCCACGTCCCCACCTCCCCTGGTCCCTGATGTCCCCGCGTCCCCATGTCCCACCTCTGGGAGCACTTCACATGCCACGTCCCCACCTCCCCTGGTCCCTGATGTCCCCATCTCCCTGTCCCTGTCCCCAGGAGTGCTTCGCGCCCTTCGTGGGGGGCAGCTTCTTCGAGGATGGCGGCCACCCCTACTGCGAGCGGCACTTCCACGCCCGGCGGGGCTCGCTGTGCCGGGGCTGCGGGGAACCCATCGCCGGCCGGTCGCCCCCCGCCATGGCCCAACGCTTCCACCCCGAGCACTTCGTCTGCGCCTTCTGCCTCCGACCACTCTCCAAGGGCACCTTCCAGGAGCAGGAGGGCAAGCCCTACTGCCAGCCATGCTTCCTCCGCCTCTTCGGGTGAGGCCACCGCGGCCCCCCCCAGCGCCCCACTGATGGTGCCCCATGGTGCGGGGTGCCCCGCAGAGGTCCAATGGACACCCCGCGACCACCACGACAAGAACGTCCCACGGGTGCCCCGTTGCGTGGGACGCACCATTGAAGTGGTCTTCAAGGTGCCCCGTGGTGCCTGGGGGCCTCATGCATGGGGATCTGGCACCCCTGAGGTGCCCCATGGTGCGGGGTGTCCCGCAGAGGTCCAATGGACACCCCACGACCACCACAAGAACATTCCATGGGCGAACCATTGGATGGGGTGCACCACTGGGGTGGTCATGGAGGTGTCTTGGGGCGCTTGGAGGCCTCATGCGTGGGACCCTTGAGGTGTGCAGTAGCGTAGGGTGCCCCATAGAGATCGAACGGGCACCCCATGACCATCCCACGGGTGCCCCATTGCATAGGGTGCTCCATGGAGGTGGTCATGGCGGTGCCCCCATGGTGCCTGGGAGCCTCACGTGGGGGTCCATCACCCCTGAGCTGCCCCATGGTGTGGAGCGCCTCATACGTAGCCCAGGGGGGTCCCATGGGTGCTCCACGGTGCGGTGTGACCCACGGATCTGGCCATGGCCTTGCCCTATGCCATGGGGTGACCGTGGATCCGGCCCGGGACTTGCTCCACGGCATGGGGTGGTCTCCGTGCATGGTGCGGGACTGGAAGCACTGGGGGGCACTGATGGTCCCGGTGGGGCACTGGGGGTAACCGGGGGGCACTGGGGGCCTCCGTGGGTCGCACTTGCTCTTTGCTTGCACATGCCAAAGCCTTCATAATTTGGGGTGGGG